AATTACACTGTAAATTGCTTACGAACTATGGGTTCGTAATGCAAACCAAAACGTTCGTAGCTTACGAAGGATTTTGAAGCGTTATATTACGAACTAGTTGTTCGTAAGCTTACCAACAAATTGTTCGTAATGCAAACCGATTTTTCGTAAGACCCGTCTAGCCTTACAAACAATTGGTCTGCAATACGAACAATTTCTTTGCAATACAAAGAACGTAAATTGTTCGTAACGTTGCAAAGTATTTAGTTCGTAAGCTTTTTACAGTGTAAATTTGCAGAGTGTTAGGGCAAGTCGAAAAGCCACTTTTTTCGATGAAGTTTTTATCTCCTTGGTTCTATCCTATCTATTAACTTTTTCAATGGGAAAACTTCGCATTTCGCTCGCATTTCCCTGACTTTGCCCAATAGACGATGTGACTCTGAGCGTGGCAACGTCGCAAATCTTTCTGCTAGAACTGCTGGAGGCGCGCGTAGAGTACACCAAATGACATGAGACGTCTTTTTGGTCATTTTAGAGAATTATTATGATTATATTGGTCAAAACCCTTACTTTGAACGCTGTTTAATACACGATGCAACGTTGCCTCATTGACTTTTGCCGCTGGGTCACATCGTCTAGTGCATTGAGGAACCTCACTTTTATTGGTTGAGAACTTCAGATTACAACCTAAATTGAGAGTCAGATATCTCGCTCCCAAACTGTGAAAAGTACCGTCGTAAATTTACAACAAAATTGTAATCTTGAGTTATAATTTAAGTTGTAAATTTACGACAGCACACTTTTTACTCGCCAAGGGTTTTGAAGTCGATACATACTGCATGTATTTTTACGATTGATTACAAATTGTAATTTTACAACTTGCGTCAAGGAAAATTTTCCTGTAAACCTACCTACTTTTTTCACAGTGCAGGAGATTGAGATTATTTGTGTCACTGATTTTTCACCTGATTACTCTCCTGAGAATAAAATATCTGACTAGCGTTTTAAGTGGAAACGCGTCCAGAAATGCAACACTTTGTTTTGGTCCACGACGCTTCTCAATGAATTAAGCGAGATTTAGGTATTTTTTCCGTTTCAGCCATAGCATACAATGCCCTATTGTAGGGCCGCAGGCTCCCCACGAAAGCCGAAGTATGTTCGATTTATAGATACAGTCA